TCAGATTCGCTCATATTTCGATATCATAGACAATGCAGTTCAAATTGGTGACACTAATAGAAAATATTCTGACGCAAAGATTCCATCACAACCTGGAACTGCTAAAGATAACACATGGGTAACATTCAATCTCTCACCTCCTGGTGAAAATATGTTGGACCTTTACAATACATTCATTACGTATAAAATGGAAGGTCAATTTATTGTAGATAAAGAAATTGGTTCAGGTTCCAATAAAACAAACCCACCAGGATTTTGGATTGGTTTCGATGACGCTTTCTATGCAGTTGCTGGATATCAAATCCTTGCAAATGGTCGTATCGTATATTCTCAAGACAACGCAAGAGAAGAAGCATATATAACTTCAAACTCACAAACTACCGAACAAATAAAGAAAGTAGATGTTTTCTCAAAGACTCGACATGAAGATGTATGGAGTCATTCGGGAACATGCAGAACAGGACAAATTGTTAGTGGTCCAATTACAGCAGGAAAATCATTTGATTTTAAGCTTCGTTTAAGAATTCCTGTTAGAAGATTCCTTCCATTAGAAGCTATTCGATTTATTCCAGCTTTTGCAGGAAACATTCAGCTTAAAGTAAAGTTCAGTAGCGACGCCTTACAATGCACATCTATATCTGTAAATGATATCATTGCTTTCAATCCAACTCTTAAAGTTGCATTTGCTTCAGATTCAAATCCACCGACAAATAAATTTGTTCCATGGAATGAACCATTCACTATGATAACGAAGGCAGTAGAAGCTAGTGGAACAGTTACTATTACAACTGTAACCAGCAACTATTTCGAACAAAGATGGATTTTAATGAATGTTTCATTCATCCAAAGTCATTCTCTTTAGACCCTAACATTTATACAGAACTTGTAGAACATTATACAAACGAGGCTTTATGTTTTCCTGTTAAAGTTATGGATTGGATTCCTATGGACGGTTCATTCTCAAAGAATACAGATAGTTCAAGTGCAACATTTACAGCAGCTTATACGCCTATTAATGTTAAAAGTATTTGGGCACTATTTAGAAAGAAAGACAACTATTATGTTAATTTTGAGAACCCTAAGTTTAAATATCTTCAGCTTTCCATGGGAGCTTATGGAAATATGCCTGCAGAACCTGAAAAATCATATGGACCTGTATTTTATGAAATGGTTGCGAACGCTTGCAATACAAACAATGATATGATAGGAGTTAATGAAGATGTTATGAGGTCATTGGTGGATGATGGTAGTGTGGAACATAAATGGGATAGCTATGACAACACACATTTCTTATGTGGTTTTCCAACAGAAGTGGACTTTTGCTTCCAGCAAGGTCAAACATCTACTGCTCCAATAACATACAAATTGTCTGTTAAAGGACCTATTGAACTAGCAACTGAAAATGTACCAAAGCCACTTATTGGATTTATGAGGGATTGTTGCTTTGCCATTCAGGTGCGTGCTAATGGAATCCCAATAATAAGATTAGATGACTATAACTTAGCTACGGACGACAGTGAGGAATAAAGGATGAACGTTTATTTTTAAAGCTTATAAATGAGTTCTTCATCAAGCTCTCGTGAACCTTCACCATCTATGAAACAAACTTTACCAAACGATTATGGAGCACCTATTGAATATTTCTTACGAGCTGCACAATGGCAAAGAGCAGTCTCACCAAGGTTAGGTGTTCCACCAGCTCCTGTCAAAAATAGCATTTGGTCACGTCCTTATATAAGATATGGTCTCCCACTAGGTTTGCTAGCTACAGCAGGAGCAGTTATGATGTTGAAAAGAAATAAAGCAAATGTTGTAAATAATACTGAAGTAGCTGAAGTTAAACAAACTCCAACACCTTCGCCAAAACCAACGCCTTCACAAGCAAAACCTTCAATGACTCCTGAACCTATGGAAGTACAAACTCCTGTTCAAAAGTCAACTCCTAAACCGACTCCAATATTTAAACCAGAACCTACTCCTCAAATAAATCGTAAAACTCCTGCGTTTCCTTACTGAAAAAATAACGTTATTTTTTATTTAATATTAAAATTTTTATTTGATTGAAATGACAAATAAAGTCACTGAAGCAATGAAACAAAAGTTTTTGGTAGAATACATTAAATCAGGAACTATTCCAGAAGGTTTTTACATTCATACTATGAAGGATGGTAGAGTTCAGTTTAGAAAGATAAAGCAACCATTAGATAGAGAAGGTATATTAAGGAAGATTAAACTTCATGAGGACAACATTGCTGAACTTAAGAAGAAGTTAGAAGAGTTGGAGAAAGGAAGAGAGTTATAAAGCAATGAATTCAACAGGGTGAAAAAACAGGTGAAAAAAGAGGTGAGATCTCACCACTTCACCTAAATTTATTTTTGTGCTATGTTTTCATACGTGTGAGGGTGGTGATATCATTTATTTTTAAGTTTATTTTTTATTTTACTGAAAATTTTTATTTGGATGTAAATGACAGAACAAAAGCAACTCATACAAATCGAAAAATATAACAAACATACATTTAAACATTTATTCTTCCTTCCTGAGCATAACATGTTCTTTCAAATACATCCGAGACCAGTTGACTTTTCATTGACTGTTTATAAAGATAGAAATAGTTATATCATTAAACCATATGATGACGAAGGTAAGTTATGTAAATTGTATGTTAAGAAGTTAGAGAAAGTTTATGGCTTCAAGTATGACTACAATAGGGTTAACACTGATGATGAAGGTATTGAGGAAAATTTATGAGAACATTAGTGAAGTCGTTAGTGAGAACGATAGTGAGAACGTTTATTTTTTTACATTAGTGAGTTTGTTAGTGAAGTGGGTGGCGGTTTTGTAAATATTTAAGGTTAAGTTAGTGTTGTCGTTTGTGTTGTAAAATATACGTTACCGGTTTCGTAAAGTGTCAAAACCGTTAAGTGGTGTACGGAGGCGCGCAGTGCCACAGTACCCAACTTAACCATACTAACTTCACAAAAGTCATAAGGTAATGAATTACTTGGTGGAAAACAATGTCAAAGTTGTTCCAAACCCAATTTATTCACCTGATATTGCACCCTCTGACTTTTATTTATTCGGCATGCTAAAAAAGAGAGCTGAAGGACGCGAATTCGCGAGTCCAGATGATCTTGAAAATTTTGTAAGAGAGCAATTTGAGCAATTTTCTCATGATGATTTAAAGCGTGTCTTTCAAGCCTGGATCGATCGCTGCGAACGCGTGATTGAATCCAATGGTGATTATATTTAAATAAACTTTATATATATGTAACTTGTTTATTTCTATTCGCAGTATTCAGGTTTGTGCTAAACACACCTTTGGACACCCTATATCTTATCTCAGTTGAAGCTGATAAAGAAGCAAAGGATAATGATGGATGGACTCCACTCATTCGTGCATCATATAATGATCATCTTGAAATTGTTAAATATCTTATCTCAGTTGAAGCTGATAAAGAAGCAAAGGATAATAATGGATGGACTCCACTCATTCATGCATCATATAATGATCAATTTGAAATTGTTAAATATCTTATCTCAGTTGGAGCTGATAAAGAAGCAAAGACTAATAATGGATATTCTGCACTCTCAGTTGCAAAAGATAATATAAGAGAATATATAAAATCTATTGGACCCAAATAATTTATTATTATAAATCACTGAATAAACGTACATCTCACAAAAAAGTGTCAAAGTTTATCCCAAATTTTCCAAAACCGTAGCGGTTTTGGCATCCCAGGGCTAATTTTTTTTTGGAAAATCGCATCTCTATTATTGATGTCTGGTTAGTGTAATGATAATTTATTTATAAAACATTTGGAAAAATTTATATTTAATATACATTTAATAAATATACAAAATTCAATAAAAATAATAGTATCAAAATCATTTCTTTTTGTCATCACCTGGATAACATTTAATATGTTCTGACCTTTCACAAAGTATTGTAGAAATACTCATCTTAACATCAACAATAGGATCGTCGTTTCCATCAAGAAGTAGTTCTTCACCAATTGTATCTTCATCCTTGTTTTCTTTATTATCTTTGTTGTTGTCTTTAGGCGCTCGTGCCACTAGGCGAAAAAAAGCGTCCCACTATGTACAACCCTACGCTGGAGCTTGACCAATGATAGTACCGCCATCTGATGTTGAATTGTTTTCTGTTTTATTTTTATTTTTATTTGTAGCAGATTCAAATCTCAATTTTAGTCAGATTGGAAAATAATAGATTTTATTATTAAAATATATCAAATGCATGTTTCACACGCTGAAATAATCGTTACCATCCCCTAAATAAGTGTGGCCCCAAAATAGGCCAAATTCAATTCAAAATAATCGTTTTGAGGCTTTTTTGGGCCAAAAAAGATGATAAACTAACATTAATTTATAATTATCCGGGACAAATAAACTTTTAAAATGTTTACACGATTTATAACATTTTGAGAAGTTTCTAAAAGAGACAGAAATTAAAGGCCATTTATGATTTATATAGTTCAAACATTAAAATCTTATTTTCTAAATTTTTAAATTTGTCTAAGGGTAACGACGATAATTAACAAAAATTTTGTCATAATTCCATGAAGGATGAAGTATATATGGAACTAATGAACTTAAACAAAGATTATATTGACATTACTAGAAAATTATATAGACTAAATATGGTTGAAGAAGATGAGATCAACAACTTTTACGCAGAGATCGATAACAAGATGATCAATACAAATTTAATATCCTCATCCAAAATTTGTATAATTATTTCAAATGCATTTTACTACAATAATCGTTACTTAAAATCCTATTGGACTTTATTCAAAAAGATTTACGAAAAATATCATCCAAAAAAATATCTAAAATTTCACAATTTTTTCAGTATTTAGTAAACAAAGAGTACGGAATTTATTTCAAGAAAATGTATTTCGATGACGATCTAATATATTATGAAAGCATTTATGATTCACTAAATGTTACTGAAGCATCTACAATCTATAAATCAATAATGAATGATGATTTAAAATCGTGTATTATCATTTCTAATATGGATTATTTCGATATCAAACCGAAAATAATATCTTATTATTTAAGGGTTAATCTAAGAACAAAAGAAGATTACTCACTTTTAGATTTATGTTGCTATTATGGTGCAGTTAATTGTTTCAAATTTTTAAGAACAAAATGCAATCTACAAATCTCCAGCAACTGCCTTTCATTATCATTTTTAAGCGGAAAGCCAGATATTTTGAACGAATGCTTGAAATTTCATATACCTGATAATGAATGCATGAGATATGCAATTGCTTCTCATAACATTGATTTTGTAACATTTTTGGTGAATGAGTATGATTTAGAAATCCAGTCTAAAGACTGTATTGAATTCAATAACATTCAGGCATTTTTCGTTTATTTATATCAAATTAATGATATAGAACGGCATTTTATTGATTCCCTAAATTTTAATAGCCAATCTCTATTGCAATATATATCCTTACTTGGAGTTGACTTTAATAATATTAATAGTCGCTATAATAGCGAACGGATGTTCCATAATGCTGTAAAAAATTGTTCTGCAGATATAGTGGAATTTCTTATCTCACATGGTGCCGATGTAAATTCAACCCTCAAATACTTTGGAAGAGCACCACTTCATATTGCCGTAGAATATAACAAAAAAGATGTCGCAGAATTACTTTTATTACATGGAGCTAATGTTGGATCAAGATTCACAAAAAATGGGAAAACGGCGCTTTATATTGCAATAGAAAATAATCGAATGGACATTGTAAAATTGCTATTATTGCATGGTGCAAATATCGAAAAAATAGATAATAATAGAACTTTAGCTTTGCGTCTAGCAGTGCAGAATGATTTTTTGGAATTTGTTGAATTTCTTATTTCAAATGGTGCTGATATTAGATCTAAAAATATCGGCGGAGATGATTTACTTCATATCGCAATTCAGAATAATTGTGTAAAAACGGCGAAGTACCTAATATCAAAAGGAATTGATATTAATACAAGAGATAGTTTCGATAATAGAACACCGCTTCAACAAGCTGTTTGGATTGAAAGTTTAGAGTTAGTTGAACTGCTGATATCGCTTGGTTCTGACATCAACGTAAATGAAGAGAACGCTTATTTTGCATGGCGTTGATATCAATGCAAGAGACAATAAAGGAAAAACAGCACTGCATTATTCAGCAGAGTCATGGAAAAAAAATGAAGGGATAGAATTACTTGTTTTGCATGGTGCTGATATAAATGCAAAAGATAATGAAGGCAAAACTCCTTTATGCAATGAATCTAAAAATTATATGAAACATATTGAAAATCTCATGAAATCACATAATATTTTGAATTAAAGTAACAATTGGACTAGATTTGAATGCTCATATCTTTCAGTGAAATAAACAAGTAAACAAAATCTATATATATATATTAAGATTAAATCTTTATAGATTCTTGAAAAACTTTTCAATATAGTAAAAGATTCAAGAAGTGCATAAATATTTTAAAAAATTATTTAGATTTGTTCAATCTTCATATATTTTTTTTTAAATTAAATTAAATAAAGAACAGAATGATTTTTATTCGATAGATTGCGTAACATAATAAATAAACGACTTAGCAGACTTCAACCTGGATTAATGCGTCACCTATAACTTCATTTTTGAGAGGATTTATAGCTTTGATTGAAAAATCAATAAATCTGTCAGTAGTTTTGATAGCTGATGTTTCTAAGGTGAATTTTTGTCCATGCATTAAAGGTTTCTTGTGTGTTAATTTAATTGATCTTACCTTTGATGCATTTCCTCGTGGTAAAAAGCTATTTGATACATTAATAACAAAATTATCCATTTCGTCGAGCATTCCTGGTGTAGATAAAACATCATTTCCTTTTTTACCTGTTCTGTTAACTGTTAAACCTATTACTGTCTCTACTTCTGTTTTAAAAATCTTGTTGAGTTGAACATATTTAGATAAATCTATGGCTTTAGAGAAAAATGAGGTTTTGGATAAAGATAACATTAAAAAGTGACAAAAAATCATCGAAAAAATTTGGCAAAATGGGAAAACTCGACGATGCAAAGAATCAAATTCAAGTACTTAATGCTTATTTAAGTAGCGAGTATAAAAAAACAGCAACAATCCTTCAACATTCAAGCAATACATTAAGAAGCAATATTTCATTGAAAAAATATCCTTCTGCATTCGAAAACGTTACAATGATTTGTTCATCTTACGATAAGGAACAAGCTATCGACTATTTAATGACGAGTATTAAGAATGTACAAGCAAATCTAAATCAGATTTTTGCTTCTAAAGAAGTGCCATCAAATGTTGCAATGGATATTGCTGCTATGTGCTATGCAGCTAAATTGGGCTTATTTGAAGCTGTTACTAAATACGTAAACCACTTTTTTGTACCGATCTATAAAGCAACTGAAGTTGAAAACCTAGCACATTCATCTTTGGTTCCAAAAGAACTTTCCAAACTTAAAAGACCAGAAAACTATACAATGGAAGAATTACATATCTTTGTTCAAAATTATGAGAAGCAGATGAGAATGGATTTCACTTGGTTCTTTGAACAATATCCTATTAATGCAAATAGACCTCCAGAACACACCGTTAATGTTAAAATTGGAGGAAGAACAATTTCTAACAATAATATTCAACCTCCGCCAGCTGCAGCAAAGAATAACTTAGCTCAAATTGCTTCATCGCCAAGTTTACTTACTTCTTCTTTGCCATTACCTGCTCCAAAAGAATTTTCAATTGAAGATTTCATCAACATGCAGCAAGACTTGACAAAAATCCTTAAGAATTGGAAAGACCTTCCAACAAACTAAATTCTTATTTTGTTCTGTTTATTTGTTAAAAAATATCGATTAGTTAGTCATTTTCATTTCATTTGCATATCATTTCCATTGAATATTAATGTAATAATGCCTATGTACTAATAGAGAACTCTTTTTTTCGCGTTTTTTTGTGACTATTCTCATATTTGATCGAATTTTTATATGAAATTTTGGGTGAAATGACTCGTCCTATGGAAATAAAATGTTTTTTATTCTGTTCTCCAATTTTCAGATGCCGATTGAATGGATTCGAGTTTACAAAATTTAGCGTCACTTTTTTTGTGTGGCTAAGAATTTATTCAAAAATCATGTCGAACAAACGTGAGAAATCGAATGAAGAAAATCAGCTTTGGCAGTCACGTGTTGACGAGCTCAAGGGCTATGAACAAGAAATCAACAAGACTTGGGAAGATCAGAAGATCTACGAAGTCGATGCACCAGAAACAGGCAGCAACGAAGATCACTACATGATTACATTCCCATTCCCATACATGAACGGTCGTCTTCACCTTGGCCACCTTTTCACCATCTCCAAGGCTGAATTCGCTGTTCGCTATCAGAGAATGAAGGGAAAGAAGGCTCTCTTCCCATTTGCTTTCCACTGCACAGGTATGCCAATCAAGGCTTCCGCTGATAAGCTCAAGCGTGAACTCGAAACAGGCCACGCAATCAAGGCAGCAGATTCATCAAAGGCTCTCAAGTCCAAGATGGCATCGAAGACAGAAAAGAATGCCTCACAAGTCGAAATCATGAAGCACATCGGTGTTCCAGAGAACGAAATCCCAGAGTTTGTCGATCCACTAAAATGGCTCCACTACTTCCCACCATATGGTGTTAAGGATATGAAGCAGTTCGGTGCTGCTGTCGACTGGCGCCGTTCCTTCATCACAACAGACGTCAATCCTTACTTCGACGCTTTTGTCAAGTGGCAATTCAGAATTCTCAAGGAGAAAGGCTACGTAGTCAAAGATAAGAGACCAACAATTTGCGATCCATCCAACGATCAGCCATGCATGGACCACGATCGCTCATCTGGCGAAGGTGTCCAACCAACAAACTATACACTCATCAAGATGCAGCTTGTTGACCCAGTCAAGGTCGATGAGCGCTTCTCACAATGCGGCGATGCTAAGGTCTTCCTTCTTGCCGCTACATTACGTCCAGAAACAATGATCGGACAGACAAACTACTGGGTTAAGCCAGGAGAGACATACGACGTCGTCAAGGCCAAGAACCTTAACGAATACTACGTTGCTGGCACTCGCTGTGTCCAGAATCTCATTGCCCAGGAATATGTCGAGAAAGCAGACCCAATCTTCGAACTCGAGTCCAACAAGCTCTTTGGTGCCGAATGTACAACACCATCCATCAAGGGCGCAATCCGCGGTTTCCCATTAGAAGGAATTTTGATGACAAAGGGCACAGGAATTGTTACATGCGTTGCATCTGATGCCCCAGCAGATCTTCAAGGCATTCTCGATCTCAAGAAGAACAAACCAATGCGCGAAAAGTACGGAATCAACTTAGATTGGTTCAATTTCGAAATTGTCAAGATCATCAACTCTCCTAAATACGGCGACTTCGCAGCTGAAGCCACAATCAAGGAAGTCGATGCAGATCCAGCATTCAAGAAGGCTACAAAGGCAGAAAAGCTCGAAGAAGCCAAGCATCGCGCTTACATGGATGGTTTCAACAACGGTACAATGATCTACGGCCCATTCGAAGGCAAGCCAGTCAAAGAGGCCAAGGAACTTGCCAAGAAGCAGATGATTGCCGAAGGATCAGCCATCGACTACTACGAACCAGACACAACAGTCATTGCCAGAACCGGCGCTGAGTGTGTTGTCTGTTTGATGGACCAGTGGTACCTTCTCTACGGCACACCAGAGTGGAAGCAGCAAGTTGTCGACCATTTCGCAACAATGGAGTGCTACCATCCAGAAATCCGCGAGAAATTCAAAGCCTGCTTCGACTGGCTCTCCGCCTGGGCATGCTCTCGTCAATACGGTCTTGGCACACGTCTCCCATTCGATGAGCAGTATCTCATTGACTCTCTTTCTGACTCAACAATCTACACTGCTTTCTACACAATTTCACACTTGTTGCAAGGTGACTTAGAAGGCTCCAAACCAGGAATCTGCGGCATTAAACCAGAATTAGTCAACGACGACTTCTTCAACTATGTCTTCAGAGATGGACCAATGCCAACAACAATTCCAGAAGACTTACTCAAGAAGTGCAAGCGCGAGTTCGAGTTCTTCTACCCATGCTCATGCAGAGTTTCCGGAAAGGACTTAGTCACAAACCACCTCACAATGTGGCTCTACAACCACGCAGCTGTCTTCGATCCAAAGTATTATCCACTCGCTGTCAGAGCTAATGGTTTCTTGAACTTGAACAACAAGAAGATGTCAAAGTCCGAAGGCAACTTCTTAACTGTTGTTGAGTCTATCGAGAAATACTCTGTCTCAGCAACAAGAATCGCTTTGGCTGATGCTGGTGATGGCTCTGCTGATGCAAACTTCACAGATATCACAGCTAAAGGAGCAATGGCAAGATTGTTCAACTTGATCAACGTCATCAAGTTCCCACCACAGGAATCAAGAAATGAAATCGAGAACTTCTTCGATAAGCTCTTCGACGCTAAGCTTGCAAAGATCATCACAGACACAGACAACGCTTACGCAAAGATGGCTTACAAGGATGCTCTCAAGGCTTGTTTCTTCGATCTCCAGAACGCTTGGTCCGACTACAACTCATCATTGGAAGGTGTCCCGATCTCTTCAATTCTTAGAGAGAAGTACATCAACTATTCATTGTTGTTGTTGACACCAATCGCTCCACAGTTCACTGACTACTGCTGGACAAAGTTGTTGGGCCATGAGAAGTCAATTGTTTTGGAGCCATTCCCATCATCATGGTCATACGATGGAAGATTGTTCTTCGAGGAAAGATTCTTGCAGAAGACATACAAGACAATCGGTTTCAGAATCAAGAAAGGAAAGCAGTTGAACACTGCTGCTGTCTTCATCAAGAATGATTTCACAGAAGTTCAATTACACGTTCTCGCAATCTTGAGAAAGCACTGGGATCAGAAGAACAACCAGTTCGATGACCAGACAGTTATGAAGGAAATCCAAGCTGATGAAGTTCTCTCTAAGGCAAACAAGAAGGAATACATGGCTTTCCTCAACTTCTACAAGGAAGCTGTTCCGGAGTTCGGCCCATTCTTACTCGCTGACAAACCAGAAATCAACCAAGTTGAGTTGTGCAACAACAACAAGTCTTGGTTCACAAAGCAGTTGTCAGCTCAGGGAATTACAAACCTCGAGTTCTACGATTCTGTTCCAGAAGGAGATCTTTGGGATAAGACAATTGTTGAACAGGCTCAGGTTTACATCCCAACTGCTAATGTAATTCTCGTTCAATAAAAAATTTTTTTCTTTGCTTTTTCTTAACCTTATTCTATTTTCCCATAAAATATTTTGACAGATTTTCCAAGTTTTACGGTTTTTTTAAAAATTGAATTCCTTTCAATTTTTTGAACAGTTAGAAATGCTTAATATGGTGATTTGTATAAAATTAATCTCGTGGAATTTTTATTTGAAATAATTGAATTTTTGATGTCAGAAAAATTGTTTTTTTTACAGAATAAAATAAATCAGAAACTTATGGCACAATTCATTAAAATATTTGATTTATAGTAAATCATTATAAAAATTTTGTCAAAATCGAGTGAGAATTGAATTTTTTTTTTTAATTGATTTACTGATGCTATTTCATAATCTTTTATCAGGAACTAAACTTTCATTAGATCATTTTAAGTTATTTTCCATGCTCACAGATGTTAGTGAACAAAATAAATTTCAAGAATTTTATTTTTCATCAATTTATTATCGGGAAATCAGATATGTTAAATTAATCTACTTCTCGATATAATAATTCGATATTTTGTTAATAATATTGATATGAATTTTGAAATAAAATTATGAATGCATTTAATCAGACTCGGACCATAGAAATTTAATGAAAATAGATCAAAATGCTATTCTAGAAATATTGTATAATTTAATTCCAATTCAATAATTAATATGTTATAAATTAGAGCCTGCATTTCTTCGAATACTATTACAGTAATCTACATTTTTGAGTGAAAAGATTTTCAAAAAAAAAAAAAGAACATTTTGGGGAAAAAAATTGAATGCAATCTCAAATTGTTTTATTGATTAAAACTAAGAGAAAAATAATTACACATATTTTTCAATTTGATGGCAAATATGGATTCAATTGAAAAAAATTTCCATTCAAATTTCATTTTTATTTATGGATTCCGTTGAACAAGCGCCACAATTATATAAGCTTTCACAGGAATTGGAAAACAGGCTGATAGACGATAATAAAGAAGGAGCTACAATTCTTGCAGAATTGTCACAAATTCTCTTCATAATTACAAAACAAGAATTAGATTCAGATATGAACAAGCTTATTAAGAAAATGGTTAAAAGCAAGAATCCAGATCTCGAAAGAGAGAAAAAGCAGGTTGGTACATTCGATTTGGAAACATCTATATCTTATCCCCTTTATCTGCAGAGATTTAAAAATGGAGAACCACATCAGTATATATACAAAGCTCTAATCAATATTATGGAAGATTATTATGACACTCATCCAAATGATCCAAAATACCAGCGTGGAGAAAGAATCAAAATCAGAGAAACAAAGAAAAGCAAAAAAGCCGCATTTAAGTACTTTGATGATAACATTAAATTATTCAAACATTTCATGAAACCGAAAAATTTCGATTTTCAGAAAATTTATTCTTCAAATGAATGATCAATGTTTTATCCTTCAATATATTGTCTAAATTTTGTATTAAAACCTTTTTACATTTGTTATACTTACTAAAACTTTTTTCCATGGAAAATTCTTTTTGTGAGCAAAAATTTTTCGTGGAATTTTTACTAACCATTGAAAGTAAATTCTCTTTAACACTTACTATAAAAAGAAGGAACTTTCGACTAATTGTATGCCTTGATATGTGAAATAAAAAAAACAGTATTCATCCTCATATCTCAAATAAAAATTCCATTGAAATATGATAAAAAATGATTTCATAATTGCATAGTGGAACAATAGTTTATGCGTGTGTATATTGATTTCAAACTCATTTAATCTATTTTTTATGAAATTTTCTTGATAAAATTCTATTCCTTAAAAAGTTTATTTTTGGAGTTTCCTGTTGCTGAAAATTACTTTGACAAATTCTTCCCATTCAGAAGTTTCCGCTATTCATAGTAGTAGATATGACGGGTTGTGTGACTTTTTTTGTAAACGTAAGAATTCATACAATATCGAGCGATTTTATATCATTTTTTTTAACATATGAAGTAAAAAATGTATGATTCTTACGGTTTTTATTCTTACGTTTTTGAATAAATCAAGATTTAAAAAATTTTCAAAATTGTAAGACATTTACACTCAGCCCAAACATAAACACATTAAAAAATTAACATTAATTTTAAAATAATTTATTTCATCTTTTATAAAAGAAGCTATATATAGATGATGTCAGATATTCCGCGATTAATTAAACATTATTTAAATCCTGAATGGAATCAATGGAGTCATAATCAAAGACCTCATAAACGAGTAAAAGAAATTAGAAATAATTATTTTCATGAATAAAAGATTCACTACCATAATGAAATAAAAAAATAAACTTTAAAAAGAATTTGATGAGTTCAACATTGAACTTTAAGAAATTAATGATTATTTGAATTTATGAAATCAATTATTTGATTCATTCTTTCTTCAATCTCTTCTATTCTTTTTGTTAAATCATCAATTTTCATTAATGAGGTGATTCTTGATTGAGGAATAGATTTCAAACTAACCACCCCTTTTATTTTTGAAATTTTGAATCCATCAACTTTAAACATTTTATTCAATTTACACGTTGTCAATTCTTCAAATAATTTTTTATTATTAGCATAATAGTCATTAAATTCTTCAACAGATGAAAAAATTTTTATTTCAGTAATTGGTTTAACAACGTTTATTTTTTGTTGAACATTTTCACTTTCATTTATTTCTTCCTCCTCTGTTTCATTTATTTTTAAAATCGGTTTCATTTATCATTAAATAAAAATTAGAATATAAGTGATGAAATATATTTTTTAATTAATATTAAATCAGAAATGGCGGCAGGATTCTTTAAAAAATTATAGGATGGAATTAAGAAAGCTGCGGGTTGGGTTTATAAAAAGATTATTAAACCCGTTGCAAACTTTTTGGCACCAGTAGCGAAAACGGCGGGAACTATCATAGGTGGAGTATTAGGTACTAAAGCAGGTAATCCGGCAATGGGAGCACAAGCAGGTAACGCAGTTGGTGGAATTGCTGAAGGAATACTTAATAAAATAAGAGGTAGATAGTGGAAAAATAAATAAATATTATTTTTATCTTAGTATCGGTTGTAGTCTTTGATAAACTTTTTCTCCTTTATTTAATATTTCTCTTATTGGGGCAGCTTTTGGTGTTATTGATTCAGCAACGTCACTAATTGCTTCTTTATTCTTAAATATCCAATTTGCTCCCTTCTTCAATGTTTCCCAAACTTTATGCGCTCCTCTTTTTACTTTATCCCACAGTTTCTTAAATATACCTGCAGCCATAGTTGATTATTTCATTAAAATTAAAAATTCATTTTCATCTTTTAATTTTGATTTTTTATTTAATAATAAATGACGACTAACTATTTAGTGCCAAACACTAAACCGATTAATGGAAATGTGTTTCATTCATTCGAAAAGATAAATGAAATATTCGCAAAGAATGACGGTAGAAGATATTATAGAGAACGTGAAAGTTCATGCTATGACTCTGATGCTCCATATTTTGATGATAAACAAACTCATTTAAGAATTACAAATCCGGCTCATGATGTGAACCAATTAGGTGACACATATATTAAACGCAAAGTTAAAGCAACTCTAGTTTCAAATAAAGCTTTCACATGTGATGCCGCTTTTAAATGCATGCGTTTATTCGTTGGTTACAAATCATCAAATCAAAGCTTTAAACAATTAGAAGTAGAAACCGAAAGAGGTGATGCCGGTTATCTTCAGATGGATTGCGCCCGTGAATCTTTCGCATTTGCAACATATAAACCAAAATCAGAAAGGAAAGTTAAAAAGTTTGTTCATTCGTTATATAATAATGTTCAAAAATATGATAACTCAGTATGTGGTAAATATATTGACCCTTCAGAAGTTTTCAAGAAAGCAAATGAAGAAGTTGATATCACTTTTGATATGATTATTCCGGTAAATGATTTGTTAGCATTTCAGGCGTTCGATGATTATCCTAAATCATTTGGTGAAATCATTCTTAAATATTATGTTTTCAGGGATACTTTAGTATTTTGTCAGGTTGACCCGTTAAGAGTTGCTGATTTACAAAATTACGTTTATGAAAAGATAACTGATGAAAATTATGAAAAGATTATGAATCATGTTTATAAATATGATCGCAAATTCCAACAAATCGGACTTCCTGCCAAATTAATTACAAGCTTAGCCGCTACATCTGCTGACGCAACAGTTGATAACGTTATTATTTCATGCACAAAGATGGAAGTTTTAGAGGATAAATGCATTACACCAGGATACGGTTTAATTGAAGAATCAGTTAAAGCAATACCACGTTTATTCAGTAAGGAAGATCCATTCATGATTCCAGCTCAACATATTGACGTTCGTTCACTAAATGGAGGTTGCATCACTCCTGAAGGTATTAGCTCAGATTTCTCATACGCTCTTCATAATGTTACAGATGTTGTGTTAACATTTCCGAAGAATGCAATGCAAAGAACGGTTTTAGAAAATCCAATGCTTCGAGGTCTTCAGGTCACTATAGATTCCAGAAACTTCCCCGATCAAGCGATGACCACAGTGGGTGACATATTCTTTACACGTATGCTTCAAGCTTCTGATTTAGATGGAGTGAATGAATGCACGGAAGAATACGAGGACTCATTAACTAGACCACTGAATGCAGATGATGGCACGCCATTAGCTAGAACATGGAAAGACCAAACTTCATTCTTATGCACTATTCCAGTTCAACGTGATGGAGCGGGTATATTCTTTGATGGATTAGAAACTTTCAACTCACAAGTTACAGTACAAGTGAAAGCTTATCCAATCATTCAGGGTGAAAATGACACTTACTGTTCAAAGGTGACAAATCCTCCTCAGGTTTGGTTTACTAGGACTACATATTGGACATGGACACCGGATGAAGGTTTGAAATATCATCCAACAGGTACACCACCACAGTATAGAAGTTCATATGATGAAATATTGATGAATAGAAATGTTTAAAATTATAAATTTATTTTTGATTAAATGGATTTAAATTCATACACTCCTTATGAAGAATTAGCGGGAGTATATAATACATACGTAGATGATATGATTAATGAAGCATTGAGTGATAATAGAAATGCTCTATCTAAGGAAAAATTAATGAAAATTCCATATTCTGAATGTTACTTAAATTCAATCACTGCAGCAATTGGTAAACAAAATAAAGGTAAAACATTAACGATATTAAAACAAATTATCATTATTGCTAACACTTCCCCCTATTCACATGTGTTAATTTATATCAACCGTTCAGGTTCACCTTCAGATGATACATTTGAATCTTTAAAGCATTTAATCAAAATTCCAATTATTTATTTATCACAAGAAGAAGCAGAAGATTATTTAAAAAACTTTTTAATGTATAAAGAATTATATAATACAATCAAGAAGCAAGGATTAGAGGATAAAATTATTGATAAACAACGGGATGAATTATTTGAAACACTTTCTATTTCAAATTTTGATAGAGAATTTTTGCATTCACTCATTTTTCTAGATGATGCAGTGAAATCAAAACTAATAACAAATGAGAAATCATATTTTAATCAGTTATTAACTCAATGTCGACACATTCAGTGTTCATTCTTTATGGCTGTTCAATATTTCAAAGCATTAAGCACAAACATTAAATCAAATCTATCAACACTTTTCATTTTCAGTGGGTTTAGTCGTCAACAGTTGAACGTTATGCTTTATCAAGTGAATTTACCAATGAGCATTAATGAACTTTACACACAATATCAGCAATTAGGTGAACATGGAAAAATAATAGTTGATTTAAATAAAGGAAGTGTTAAATTTGATTAACTTTTTATAATTAATTTTTATTTTTTATTTATAATTAAACATGACAGAAATGGCAAATCTTCTACAGGTTCCATTAAAACAAGGACAAACAAAAAGGGTGCATATAATAGAACTATGAAAGTTCCTGATGGAATGAAAGAATTAGTTCATATTGTTGCTGGTCTTCAAAAAGATGTTAAACAAATGAGAAACGTTTTAACATTACCAGAAGCTCAAGCATATGCCAAACGTCAAGGTCCAAATTGGGAAGCACGAAGCAGACATTACGGGTCCAAATGGAAAACCTGATGGTATAAATGAAGTTTTCATTACTGATGGTCAAGGTAATATTAAAGTCATAAATGGTTATAAATTAACTATAACTGATTATCCTAAACGTAAAGCATATAATGAACGTTATCCTATGCAATTTGATAAAAATGGAAAAGCTGTTAAACAATACATTGGAGAAGGTGAAAATGGTCCAATTAATTCATACCGTTATAATCCATATTCTTATTTCAATGAAGAATTAAATGCTATTGAAGAGGGACCGGATGGATTACCACGATATTCTAACCAGTTTGATGGTCAATATGCAAATATTAGACCTGAAATTTCAGCTAAGAAATTCTTTAAAGTTGCTTTATTCGATCCAGTTTTCGCAAATGTTAAAGATGAACTTAAACAGCAATTCCAACCAATTATAGTAGCAAGAATTGCATCAGGTGCTTTATCTCAAGCATTCAAAGATTAAATTAAGAAACCATTATATCAGCAACGAGGTTTAACTTATGATTTAGTTAAGGAATCAGATAAAAGAAAATTTGAGAAATCAGGTGATTATAAGAATGCAATTAATGAATATATTAGGTCTATTAATTACAATGAAACAGCTAAAAATCAACTTCAAGAACAAATACAGGAAATAATAGATTCAAAAGTTCCAGCAAAATAAAAGTTTAAATATATTTTTTTTATTCGATTATAAATGAGAAGACGTTTCACTAGTCAAAAGAACACTAACGCAAAAGCAGAGATTACGGTTGGTTATAACGTAAATGATGATAAATCACGAATTATTCAAAATGTTAAAGTTAATGTTAGCCCTGAATTAACAAGGTCAGCAACTCAACCAAATTTATTAACTCGTGACTTACCGAAGAATGAGGAGAATGAAGAAAACCATGAGAATGGAGACCCAATCATTTTATCTGAACCCGGTAAGAACCTGTTGAAATTCCCACTTATCCAACATACCCCCGCCTCTTTCATCAAACATCGAGAACCCATATAAAATAGACATTAATTCTGAATTAATGAAAATTTACCGTGATATAATAACTGATAATTATGATTCAATAATAAATTTAATTGATCAATCCGGTTTAATTATTTTACCTTATGAATCATTAATTCACATTATCGCCATTCTTTGTGATGTTCAAGATTCAGACGTTAAGATTCATTTTTCATAGATGATGAGGTTTCATGCTGCGGAACAGTTGCAAAAATAAATCCTATAAAGGATATTAGCACAATTAAGATATCAAAGAACGGAACAACAACTGAACTTCATTTAACATATAATGATATTTATAATAAAATAGTTGATGAATATAAAATATCACTTGAAAAATTCTTTGTTAAGGCTATTTAATATTCAAGCATTAACATTATCGAATAATAATCCTTTGAATCATAATCAATAATAATTGACCTTTCACCAGTTTCTATCGTTTGTTTTATTTCTTTTTGTTCCCCACTATCCGGATCGGTCATTGTAATTGTTTTTGTATAGTATCAGCTTTATCTTTAACTTCAATCTTTTTCCATCGGATATTTAAACCAAAATTCCAAAAATTCGATATTGTCAATCTGTTCATATTTTAATCTATCAATTACATTTTAATACCATCTTGAAAATCTTATGAAATGGTCATTATATGGGTTTGATTGAACTAAATTTGAATGAAGTGAAATATAACCTGTTGATGAATATGACATTGACTCATATTTTCTGAAAACACTAAAATTTATAACATGAATGAATTTCTTATTCGTTGAATTTATGAATTCTTGAGGTAATCTTATTCTAGTTTTATTTATCACTGGAAAATAACGCTTTACCATACTTTAATCGTAATAAAAATGTCAATTATCAATATTATTTCGAATAATAGCTGTGAATTAAATTTAACAGTTAGCGGAATTTATAATGTTACTCTCGTTTCTGTGAGTGGTAAATTTAATCCCATTCTTTTAGACCCTTCAGATTATATATCATTTATTAAAGATGACTTGAAAAAACGTATGATATGTATATAAATAATGTGATAGCGAAATGGGATATTAACATGATTTTAAGTTATTTAAATGAATCATTTATCGTATGGTATGAAGAAAATTTTAAATCAAAACCTGATAAACTTTTTGAACTTGATGAAATAAATAACCTTATTAAATTTCCGCTGAAAATTAAATTTTGTACTCCTCATCTTCGTTCATTGTTGGAATATTAAATTTTGAAAAAGATGTTGGGGATGTTTTGTATTCTGACACTGGTTCCAATTTCATTTTAATCAAATGTGATAAAGTTAATACCCCAATGAGATTTTCACATCAAACATTAGACCCTAACTCTTACCCATCAATACAAAACATTTTATCCATCAACTTAAACACATTTTCTTTATCATATCCGTTTCAATTATCCGGGAATTCATTTATTCTTCATTCAAAAGATTTATCAAATATTAAATTTAGAATAACTGACCTATTTGATTGTGATTTAGAATTCATGAATGAAATATTATGGCAATTTCAAATAGAAAAAATAGGTGATGAGATAACAGATTAAATATTTATTTTTAAATCATAATAAATGATTAAACAACAGCAACCACAACAACTTAAGGCACAAAACACCCAGGTCCCTCAGACCATTACATACGCCATATATGCATATAATTCAAAGACGGCAGAACAAACGCAAAGGTTGAAATATGGAGATTTGGAGATAGTATTGAAAAATGACCGTTTTGAATTCGTTTGCAAAGGTGGTGCAGTGATATCAAATATAAAAGAAATTTTATTTATGAATTCTAAAATTAAAGGTATAACGGATGATATAACATCAATTCCACCAGAAGAACAGAGATATTACGCATTAAATGCATTTCCTAAAGTTTTGAAGATTGGAAGATTTAATTTAAATGAGGAATTCATAGAAGGTTTCCTAAATGACATAATGAAGAAGGCGGATAAAACATATGTGGATAGTGAGTTAAATAAGAAGGCAAATTTGGTTTATGTTGATGAAAAAGATAATGAAATTAAAGAAAAGGTTGAATGGTATCATGAATGGACATTTGAGACTTTTAAAGTTAAAGCTGATACAGAATGGGTTTCAGGATGTTTAGACCTTAAAGCGGATAAAACTTATGTAGATGAAAATTATGCAAAGAAGTCGGAAGTAAATGATGTGATTACAAGCATGAAAAATGAAATACTTCAAACATTATATCCTGTTGGTTCTATTTATACATCAATGAACTCAACAAATCCATCAACAGTTTTAGGTTTTGGTATGTGGAAGCAGATTGTAGATAAATTCTTATACTGTGCTAGATATTCAAAGCAAACAGGAGGTTCGAAGAAAATTAAAGAAGTAAACCTTCCACCGCACACTCATACAGGAACTACAAACACAACAGGTAATCATTCACATTCAATAACAAAAAGAGGTTATATAAATCTTGCAGCAGGTTCGGATAGACAGGGAATGAATAGATATGATATCACAACTGACCCAGTAGATTCAAGCACAGGTATTTTCTGTGGAACCGCGGGTAATCATTCACACACTTTCACAACAAATCCAACAGGCTCGGGTAAAGATTATATGCCACCATTTGTGACTGTATTCGCATGGTACCGCGTTCATTGAATGTGCTTGAGACTTGACCCAAATGGTTTAGGCTTACCGAATGAACTAAATATATTTTATGTTTGTAATTAATTAGGTAATGAAGTAATGGATGAACTGCAGAAATAAATGTTTACGTTAATGTTTTTAGGTTATTCAATAATTAATTATTTTTGAAGAACTGAAGGTGCTACCATGTTACCATGTGCTACCAGGTTAATGAACTTCTCTGAAAAAATGAGACAACATGACATTTTGACAACAACACAGGAGGAAGGCAGTTATGAATTATTTTTGAAGAACTGAAGGTGCTACCATGTTACCATGTGCTACCAGGTTAATGAACTTCTCTGAAAAAATGAGACAACATGACATTTTGACAACAACACAGGAGGAAGGCAGTTATGAATTATTTTTGAAGAACTGAAGGTGCTACCATGTTACCATGTGCTACCAGGTTAATGAACTTCTCTGAAAAAATGAGACAACATGACATTTTGACAACAACACAGGAGGAAGGCAGTTATGAATTATTTTTGAAGAACTGAAGGTGCTACCATGTTACCATGTGCTACCAGGTTAATGAACTTCTCTGAAAAAATGAGACAACATGACATTTTGACAACAGTCCTGGAAATATGATGCAGTCCAAAAATAAAGTTAGTTTTAAAATTATTTTTATTTTTTTATTCCTATATAAATGACAGCAACAAAAAACAACAGCAACTATATCGTTTCTGATGAAAAAGTTATTGATTCATTAGCTGAGGAATTAGTTGTGGCAGAAACTAAAACCCTCAACGAAAGAATTGGTGAAAACAAGATTGATTTACACAACTACCTCAAACATGATGGAGGAAGAGGAAGGAAACTGGTAAGCTTTATTAGTAAATAAATATCAAATTTAACGATTATAGATGTTGAATATCAATAAATCGTACAATGATGAACTTAAAGAAACAGTTAGAAAAGATATTTTATCAAACTTTCGGATAAAGATGTTATCGTTAAAACCGCTTCAGGAGGTCTTCACATTTATTGCACACTAATTTCTTCTATGCAGTTTCGAACAGAATGATTAAATGTTATTCCTGCAATGATTATGATATTTGACATAATGATTCTATTGATGATTCAAAGCGTTTTTAGTGGTTATGGCTGATTCAAGAGTTCGCAAGAATGCAACAGAACCAATCAATACATACCATTCATTCGTGGAAGTTACGATTCAACATTAACTAGAACAGTAAATGATATATTAAATGAATTGAATATTAAGGTAAGAGTTGAACAGAAGAGCGAAGAAATAAAGACTATCATGAATGAAAACAAAGATGTAAACATTGACGATAAACTAGCTCAAAGCATAGTTGATGGCATCAGTGATTTTGAAGTACATAATGACGGTGGAAACATGAATTTGGAAAAAGAAGTTACATTATTCACACTGTTTCAAGCTATTAATTCGTTACCTAATCATTTAATTAATGAAGCATACGATAATAACGTTTATAACTTCTGCAATTTAAATGAAAATGCAAAAAGTAATTTTGAAAAAGCACGTAGTAGATATGCACATTTAATGACTTCTCCATTTGTTTTAGTGAAGATTCTAAAACTTTATCAAAAGGAATATTATGATGAATATGTTTTACCTTTATTACGTAAGCCAAAAATAACATTTGATATCAAACTTGATGACTCGTTTTGATAACAGATATTAGACGCAAGGCTGAAAATCACAGTATAAAAACAGTTCTGAAGTAATTGAGGATTTATCACGTGTAATCCGTTTTGTAGATTATGGAAACAAATACTTCATTCAGAAA